CGGGGCACCCTGCAGCGCACGACGCTGTAATGCAGTCAGGCAGCTGGGGCACCCTGCAGCACACAACGCTGCAGTGCAGTCACGCAGCTGGCACCGTGCAACAGACACCACAATGCAAGCATGCAGCTAGCACTTTGCAACGCACACTGCGACACGTACATGCAGCTGGGGCACCCCACAACATGCACGCTGCAGTGCAATCACACAGCTGGGCTCCCCGCAACACACATGCTGCAATGCAAGCATGCAGCTGGGCACCCTGCAACGCACACTGTGACATTTACACACAGTGGGGACACCCCACAACATGCATGCTGCAGTGCAATCACACAGCTGGGGCACCCCGCAACACACACGCTGCAATGCAATCACACAGCCGGCACCATGCAATACACAGCGCAATGCAAAGCATGCAGCTAGCACTCTGCAACGCACACTGCGACATGCACGCACAGCTGGGGCACCCCGCAACACACACACCGCTGTGCTCTCGCACAGCTGGGGGTGCCGTGTGACACACGTTGTAACACAAACATGAACACACAACACAACACATGCACACTGCAACACGCCCCCAGTGCACACACTGCCACGGAAACACAGCCGTGGTGCATCCTGCAACACGCTCCCAGTGTGCTCAGTGCCACAAGACACACAGCTGGGGTGCACCCTGCAGCACACACACACCAATAAGCACACTGCAACACACCCTAAAACACATGCACGCGCACTTTTGCACACCCTCGTGCACACAGTGGTGCGCGCACACACATATGCACACTGCAACACGCGCCCCCAGGCCTCACCCTGCGACATGACGCACCCTGCTACGTACGTTCGTTCCTGCGCTCACATGGTGCGCACACACCCCTGTGCATCACACCTGTGCGCACGCACGCTATCACGCGCACCAGTGTCACACCAGCACTGTAGCGCAGCCCCTGGTATGCGCACACGCTGCACACGCAACACCCACGTCCATGCTCAGCTGAATGCACGCATGTTGCTGTGAAAATAGGGCAGGCGGGAGCGCCACGGAGAGAGGCGAGCTCCGGGACAGACGGACGCGTTTGCTGCCGAAAGCCTTTAATCTCGGGCTCTGCAGGAACAGCTCGGAGAGATGCTATTTTGGTTCAAAGGCCTCTTGTATCAGCACACGCAGCAGATCAAAGTCCCGGGGAGGGGGCGCGCGGCGGGATGGAGCGGGAG